TGTTTGAAACTTTTTGGTGACCACACTCGCAAGCAATTCTATTTTTTGGCTCCTCTACGATGCTTACAGCAACTTTTGCATTGGCACTGGAGAAACAAGCTCAAGGTGTCGCCAGACTCAGCACGAGCGCAGGCCAAAGTGGAGATGTTCTTTCAGGGTTGAAACAGATGCAGCACTCGCTAATAGGGACGCTATTATGTGGAGGCCATCGCAAGTAGGTTGGAGGCCATTACTACTAGAAACAAGAAGCTACTAGGTGGAGGGTGGAGGCCATCGTGTACACAAAAGTGAACATGTAGCGGCTTCCCCCTTAAACATGAATTTGAAGTAGAATTTTTGACATGTCCTTTCAGGGTTGAATACGATGCATGAAACGGTGTGCAATGTCTAACATAGGAACTCCCGAATTGCCATTTCTGACAGGCGTCCACTCCCAACTCATCTCGTATGATTGTCATGGACCTTGGACCGTTTCCAGAGCGCATGCTGCAATGTCTTTTTATCAGCAATCTTGAACATGGTCCAAAGACAGGATCTGCACCCATGCATACAGGCGTTCGATCATTTGCAATTTGGTTTGATAGCTTGTTTCACTAGTAATGGCAATGGCCTCCAACTTAATAGCAATGGCCTCCAACCTAAGTAGCGATGGTCTCCAAGCTAGTAACCACACTGAAGCTGCATTTTTGTGTTTCAAGACAAGTGAGGTCAGTCCGGAGACTGTGTCCCGCCCTTGCTCCGCTACGCAGGCGAGATTGCTTAGTTGGGCAATGTAGGAGCCAACGGGAGAGTTGACGATATTGGAAGAAATCGAGTCTTTCTCTAAAAATCTGGGAACCAAATGAACCGCGCGCGAGCTCTCCTGCATCCTGTCGGTAGTCTCGTTCCTTGTAGCTAGTAGTACCTCTTCCCCCTAGCGTCCGAGTAGTGCTACCTACTCCCTACCTAGCTCCCTAGCTCCCTAGAAGCTACTAGTAACAAGTGCATCGCTACTAGTAACAAGTGCCTTACTAGTAGTAACAAGAAGCTATTAGGAACAAGCTCCCTAGCTCCCCTACCAAGGCTGTTCGGCTGGAGAAGTCCAACCGCTCCAGCACCGTCCCTGTCTCTCGTCGCGTGGTGGGTGCAGGCGGGCTCGCGTCGAGGGACGCTTCTCACTCGCTCAGAACGGGCCTAGTAGCAAGGAAGCTTCTAGGAGCAAGTGCCACGCTACTAGTAACAAGTGCCTTACTAGTAACAAAAAGCTACTAGGAACAAGTGCACGCATTAGGAGCAAGGAAGCTTCTAGGAGCAAAGGGCATCGCTACTAGGCGCGGCATCGCTACGAACGGAGCAAGAAGCTACTAGAAGCCTAGTAGCAAGAAATTACCAGCAAGAAGCTAGTAGTAGCTGGCATTTCTACTAGCAAATTACCAGGGGGCGCTCCTGGCCTTACTAACAAGAACGCTACTCATACTTTCCTTTTTTTGAAAAGGCCAAACAAAAACAGAGAGGCCAAGAAGACGGACAAAACAAAGATATATACCAGTGCGAGACTAGTACTATGACCACTTGCTAGTAGCACTACTACTGTTCTTGCTTAGTTTATACGTTGCTGAGCTTTGTCTCTCTTTGATTTAGGCTACTTACTTTGCTTCTCCCGTCTACCCCTCCAAAAAGAAGAAATGGATTTCTTGTAGATTTGTCGGAGCATTGCTGCTTTTTGGTTGCCTTTGGTAGCCTTCTTGTGAGTTCTTGTGCATTGATGGCCTTTACTCTTGAGTTGTCTTGACTGGTGTCTTAAAAAGAACACATTAAACATGATTGCTTGAGCGATTGCCAACCTAAAAGCAATGGCCTCCCGCTCTTGAGCAATTTTTTCAAGTCGCTTTGGTGCGAGGAACCGCACCCACAGCACCCAGCACCCCACGACAGCCAGCTCGAGGAGCGGGATGAGACTCATTCGGAAGACTGTGGAAGAAGGCACCAGGCACACTAATCTTGTTACTAGAAGCGATGCACTTGCTACTAGTAGCTTCTTGTTACTACTAGTAAGGCACTTGTTACTAGTAGCGTGGCACTTGTTCCTAGTAGCTTCTAGCAAACGAATACACCGTATTACCTGTGTGTTGACTTTATCATCTCTCAAAGTCTATGAAGCGTAGCTCATGGTCCTTACGATGTAAACAATGACGTTTAGCGGTCACCGTCAAGCAAGGAATTTTGGAACGCTCATCCGCTCATCAACACACGTTAATCTTGGAAGATTGAGCTAGCGCTTGTTGATGCTTAGATCGTTCAAAGGGTTCACAGAAGCGAGGCTGTCAGTCCACATGGGGTCCCAATGCCTCCAACCTAATAGCGATTGCCTCCAACCTAGAAGCGATGACCTCCAACCTAGAAGCGATGGCCTCCAACCTAGAAGCGATGACCTCCAACCTAATAGCTGGCCTCCAACCTGGTAGTGATAGCCTCCAACCAAATAGCTATGGGTGAGGCCCTTCTGCATTGTAATGAAGTTGCACTTGCTGTTTCTTGCCAAACACACTGTCCAAAATGCTGCCAATGCCAACTTCGTCCCTCAAAACGTGGCATGACCGCATGAATGGAGACAGCTTTTTAGAATGAGGGTAGTCGACGCCACAAGATACACCTGACAACAAGTTTGCATCGTGACTCCAATAAGAAGCTTGGTGGGAGTAGAAAGAAGCTGAACTCCTAGTAAGGCCAGGAGCCCCTAGTAGCTTCTCGTTACTAGTAGCTTCTTGTTTCTAGCAGTAATGCCAGGAGCTACTAGTAGCGTCCTTGCTCCTAGTAAGGCCAGGAGCCCCTAGAAGCTGAACTCAAGAATCCAGAAGTTCAGTTTCCTGAAGCGTGGCACTTGTTACTAGTAGTGTCCTTGTTACTACTAGTCAGGCACCTGTTACTTGTTAGCGTCATGTTTGGTCTGTTGTTCGTTTGGTGTTCATGTTTCTTGAGACACAAGGCACAAGTTTGCACATCAAGTCTCAGCCACACGACACTCCGCACCATGTGTGACAAACCAAACCTGCCAGGAGCAGTGACAGCTTTGATCTCAGATGAAGTATGATTGAACGAAGAAGACGGAGCTACTAGGAGCAAAGGGCATCGCTACTAAGAGCAAGGACGCTACTAGCAGCCTCCCGGCCTTACTACTAGGAACCAGAAGCTACTACAGTAGAAGCTACTGCTTCACTCAGTTTCATTTTGTTAGTTTTTGTTGTTTCCAGCGAACTGGACAATTCCCATCCCGTCCCGGCCACCTTTTGCATCCAGGAAGTGGACGAAAAACGTTTTACCATTGTTGACGCGAGAGACTCAGATTTTGGTTCCGTCTTGAAGAAGTGCATCGCTTCTAGTAACAAGTGCCTTACTAGTAGTAACACGTGCCTTGCTATTAGAAACAAGTGCCTTACTACTAGTAACAATAAGAATTGTAATTACTAGCTTCTTGTTACTACCAGTAAGGCACTTGTTACTACTAGTGATGCACTTGTAATTACTAGCAAAGGAATCTACTAGGACCTTTTCGGGGGGGGGGGGGGGGGGGTAGGAAGCTACTAGAAACAAGCGCCTTACTAGTAACAATAAGAATTGTAATTACTAGCTTCTTGTTACTACCAGTAAGGCACTTGTTACTACTAGC